TGAGTTACTTATCTGTCTATTTTTAGCACAACTGCTGTAAACAAGAACCTTCATTAAGCATAGACCTTCTGGCTGCAGATCGTACAAAATAAATATTCATATATTTAACATTATTCATTTTAACAGAAGAGCACCGAGGCCAAGTAAAAAAAAAACAAAAGAAAAAAAAAGTGATATTCTGAGATAATGCAAAATTCTGAGTTGTAAGTTTATCTCAGAATTCTGACATATCATCTGAGAAATCTGAGAGTTATTATCTTGGAGTACATTAAACCTGACATATGATTTTTAGAATTTTGATGGTATTATAATATACTGTAAGATAATATCATTATACAGGATATATCTTAGCATTATATAGTGCAGGCCAGTCAAGTTCCTCCACCTCGCTCATCCGTGCCTTTATGGACCTTGCTTGTGCACTGGTGCGCAGTCATGTTGGATAGTAGCAAGGAAATTTCCGGGATGGACTTATTGCATAGGTGACAACCTATCACGGTACCACGCTTGTTTTCACTGAGCTCCTGAGAGCGACCCATTCCCTCACAAATGTTTGTAGAAGCTTCTGCATGCCGAGGTGCTCGATTTTATACACCTGTGGCCATGGAGGTGATTGGAACACCTGAATCCAATGATTTGGAGAGGTATCCCAATACTTTTGGCAGTATAGTGTGTATATATCTAAGAATTTCGATATATTATCTTAATGTGCAATAAATGCTGACATGACTTTAGAATTTTGAGTTATTATATTATACTGTAAAATAATACAATTATGAATCTAATAATTCTGAGTTATTATCTCAGAGTGCATTAAATCTGACATCATTTTTAGAATTTAGAGACATTTTTAATATACTGTAAGATAATAAAATTATATATCTAAGAATTCTGATATATTATATCTTCCATACACATCTAAATTATATAATCTAATTATTAATTATTTTTTTTGGAGCCTAATGGAAAGAAAAGAATTAAAAAAAAAAAAACAGAATGAAAAAAGAAAGAAAATAAAGAAAATGAATTATGAGGAATATAAAGAATATATATTTTAAAAATCCGTTTAAAATTAAATAACTGTATTTTTATTTGTTTTACTCAAGTAAAATAATATTTTTATGTTGTATATATGTTTTTAAATGACTTTTGTTCTCTATAGAGTTTGTAATTATATATGTACATGAAGCTGTCATATTATTATTTACTAATTACATAGGCAGTGACTAGTTCTGTTACAGGCAGTCCCCGGGTTATGAACAAGATAGGGACTGTAGGTTTGTTCTGAAGTTGAATTTGTGTGTAAGTTGGAACAGGTACATTTTTTAAGTGTAACACCAGCCCAAATAAATCGTTTTTTGTTTTGGATAGAATAGGGAAGGGTTTACCCCCTGTAAAGTTTGTTTTGCTGTGTGTGCCCCTGTTCAGAAGATTTCACCTCACTTTCTGTCCCTGGGACAATTGGATTTTGAAAATGTTGGGTTGTCGTGGAAACAAGGATTGGTGATAAAGCTTCAGTGGAGACAGCTTTTTCCCATGATGACTCTTACAGGAGTGAATTTCCCTTCCTATGGGTAGATTTCCTCTCACTTCCTGTTGTCTCAAGGACAGGAAGTGAGATTAAATATTTCTAATGAGGATCCAGACAACAGTAAAAACCCCACAGTGACCCGGAAGAAGAGGCGGGCACCCCTCGTCTGCACGTCTAACAAGAGCCAACTTCCTGTAATGTACGTACAATACTACGAACCAGACCCAAAAAGGCGGGCACTCCTCGTCGGCACGAGCGTGGTAGCATTACAACAACTGAAATGCTGTGCGATACACTTTGACTGCAGCCTGGGACCCCCTGCTGTACAGTAATAGCCTCTGTTTGTAAGTAGGGGTCGTATGTAAGTCAGATGTTTGTAACTCGGGGACTGCCTGTATTTCAAGATGAGTCTGTTTTCTTGTGCTGTGCTCTTCCTGTTCACTCAGTGTACACCTATCTGTCTGCTCAGTGGCTGAAAACAAGGCAAAGTCTTGTGTGGTTTGTCTTGTAATGGGTTCAGCAAGGGTGCTGATTGAAGTGTCTGATATACAGAGTGCCACTAGGGGGAGACTCCACAAAATTAAATATGTGATATAGCATGCATATATATCACGTCACAAATTACTTTCTGAGAACCTTAAACAAAACTTGGTTATAATAAACTGTTCTCATCACCAATGTTAACTCGTCATTCTTCTCCTCTCTCTTGCATGCCTCTCTCTGATAACCTGAATGCACAGTATCACAAGGTAGGTGTTTGGATACTCTAACTATATATAGAATGCTGGTTTGAAGTTGTCATTTTTCTAACAAAAATAAAAGCGGAACTCCGGGCACGAAAACTTTCATGTGAATGTCTGTGAAGGTTCATATTTCATGTGAATGTATTCCTCAGTAGACACTAAGGATAAAACATTGATTGTATTCAATCTGGCCATAGACACTAGACGCGCACACATGATTGAAACAACCACGGGCATAAATGGGTTACTGCAACTAGCACCTACACTGTTCATTAAATGGGGTCTGTAGCTGGCAATTAAAGTGGACCTGTCACCAGTTATATTTTTTATGTTAAGTGCATGCTCAGTAATGTGTCAGTGTAACACTTTCAGGTATTTATTACCTCGCACAGAGATCACATGACTCCTCCCTGGCCATGTCTTCATCTGCTTTTGTCTCCAGAAGGATGCTACCATCTTTGTTCAGCCATCCTGCAGTGTCAGCATCCACTTCATAGAGCTACATGGTGCTCAGAAATGACACAGTCATGTAATTCTTGTTACCTGTACAGTACTTGGCGTGTTCACAAACGTAACACAGATCAGCCGTCTGCTGAAGCCTCTTACCTTGTGACTTGCTACAAAGTTATAATGCTGCAGTCTGATCACTGGGGGAGAGGAGACTGAGGAAATGCTTCCTCCTGCATGTCGCAGACTGATCACTGGGGAGAGGAGACTGAGCAAATGCTTCCTCCTGCCTGCAGCAGACTGATCACTGGGGAGAGGAGACTGAGCAAATGCTTCCTCCTGCCTGCAGCAGACTGATCACATGATCTAAGCCGAGACAAAATCACCGACTGGAGCTCAATAATACTGCTGCTGTATATTGTGACATGCCAGGGATGTTTTCATGCAGACTTGTTAAAAAATAAATCTGGGTAAAAATGTAATTAACCCTTGCAGTGGAGCTACCCCGGTACTGCAAGCGTTGTATGCTCCTTTTTGCCTAGGGTCAAAAATAACAAAGTTATTCCCACCTGATCCTTCAAGCTGGTCGGCTGTCACAGTGCTACCTTCAACCTGCCTTCTACTCTGCAGCGATGGCATGTCCCACGGCGTCCTCACATCCTATACACAGTGTATAGAACGTGATGACTTTGGGACTTTAGACCGCTACAGAGGAGGGGAGAGACGATGCAGTGACCGATCTAAGAGCTGGCCAGCCCGGAGGATGGGGTGAGTATAACTTAACCCATGCAGGTCGGGTTCTGCCTTAAGTTACAGAAAAGATGCACTTTAAAAACATCTTCATTCTTTTTGCAGGTTACAAAGAACAAGGGATTCCGCAGCAGCTGTAACCGAAGCGGCGCAACGTAAGAAAAGTGCAAAAAGACATTTTCCAGCATCTTTGGAGGAAGAGTTTTGTAATAAATAGGAGAAAGTAAATGAATGAAGAACAAGTGGAGACTGAGAAGAGAATGTGGCCTACAAACACTCTGGTCTAGAGGATGACTGAGATCCCATGATAACACTAAATCCATGTTCATTCTTTGTTAGTTCTCGAAACCAAATTGATCACCTGATGACGGGCCATAAAAACACAAAGAAATACAATTGAAGCGATCAAATCCCGATGTCTTTCCGGCTCCAGAGAGTCAACTTCATAACACCATCGGTAGAATTGCTGACTTGGGAAGACCTGTCCTACTTTGTGGAAGAGGACAAGTTTCACTGTTGGATGGGACTGCATTATATGTAACGGCTAGTTATTTCCAGAGCCCACGAAAGCAGAATTGCCCCCATTTCCTCCTATCGGCCCAAAAATATAATAGAAACTTTTTTTTTTTTTAACATTGTATCCTAAAACCATCACAAGTACATACGTTTTTCACATTGCATACATATGACATGCGTTTTCCCTGAGTTATCCTTTAAGGGTTATGATTAGTGAATGGGGAGAGTAGTATTAATTTCATCGGACAGAACTACAAGAGCGATCCGCCTGATTGGTCTCTGAGGAATGAAAACGGTAACAAAACAAAACTAGCAAATGTTTCCACGTCCCTCGGATAATAAATTGGCATTTCTGTGTGGACACCATAAGAAAACATCACTTTTTTTTGTTGTTTTATTTTTTTATTATCAGTGTTATTTTTTATGGTAAGCTTGAAGTAATTGTATTCTGTTACTCAGTTTTAGGTTGAGAGTTGTAGAGTTCTAGATTTAACTCAGGCGGCCATAGGTTGGTCTTATAAAGCACAGGGCTGGGCATCGTGGAGCCAAAATATCCGCAGGCTTCTTCTATATCTCAGACACTCCGGTGGTGGGATTTTTCTTCAGTAGTCTGTCTTTGTCACATTGCCCCATGGTTGAAGGTGTCACTCTCCTGTTGCAGAATTCCCCATGTATTTGGTTATTCTAGCCTAAAATTTCCAGTTTCCCTAATCTCTGATAAATGTTAAAAACAGGTTGTTGATGACTTTGATGATGACGATGCATGAGCTCTCCAGAAAGTTCATTTGACTTCTTGCTGCCATAGTTTACTGGCTAAAGATTGGGGACTTTGTTGCTGAATTCTCCACCTATTTGGTTATTCTAAACTTAAATTTCAAGTTTAATTTCTGGTGTCATGAGTGCCCTCCTGTTCTACAATTCATTGTTGACTTTCGTCATGCAAGGATACTGAAGGATCCTAACTGCATCATTTTATCGTACAAGTAGAAGCTTCAAGCGCCTGCTTTGACACACGCATTAGAAGTTTGGATCCACTGATTCATAGAAGCTTCTTGAAGAATTTCCCATACACAATATTTTCAGGACCTCCTTTCCATCTGAGCCAATCTTGAAAACTGATGCTGAAACCCTAACGCTCAAGACCACTTTCCTTCTGGCAATTATGTCACCCAAACAAGTTAGAGAAATGAAAGCTTCTTCAATGAGAGAATTGTATCTTAAAATCTTGTATTACTATTTCATCCAAAAGAATGAGAAAGAAGAAAACGTCCATTTCCTAGATCTTCACAAATCTGTTTTGAAAAATCATGGAGAATGGAACAGAACCAAATCATGGAGAATGGAACCAAATCATGGAGAATGGAACAGTAACTACTACTTTATTTCCAGGGCAGTGAGTGAGATCATGGTGCCTCCATGTCGATTTGACCCAAGCTCATTGAGGACCTTCCAAGGACCTTCCAAGAGAATTGAAGGTTCGCTTAACTTACAGCCCTTCAAACCCCCCTTCCCCAAATACAAATGGCTGGAAAAGAAACATTAAAAAGTGGAAGCACATCCTGGCAGACTTTGGAGTGCTCAGCTCTCCCAGAGAGGCATAGTGATTTTGCCCGAACCTTTCTGAAACATTGTAAGCTGGGTCGTGGTAAGTATTTTTTTTAATAAACTTTATTTTTTTAATGGCTTTTTCAAGTCATTTGTATTTGGGGGGTTGTTGGGCTGTGAGTAAAGCCTACCTTCCATTTTTATGGAGGGTCTGCTTCAAAGTCTACACAGCAAGGTCCATTTCTCATGCTTCAGCCAAAGAAAAGAAGTCTTTAAAGTGACACTGTAAGGTTACAGAAATCCAGATGAAAGGTCCCATCACCTGGGACAAGAGAGAATACTCACCTCTAGGCCTGCCCACGTCTCCTATTTCCTCTCTGTTACAGTTCCTCTGTAAGAACCTTCAGCATTTGACACTCCTGGAACTTTGGATACTTGTGTCCTCTGCCACATTCTGTACTTCCATCCTCCGAGCCTACCACAGGACTCAGCAATGACATAGGGTTTGGAGGATGGAACCACGTCCTCTGTAATGTCATCCAAATTTGTACACAAATATCTGGCAGTTGCAGGAAAGAACATGAAGAAGGTTCTTCTTTTTAGGATACCCTTAGAGATTGTAGATAATTGTGGTGCTTAGTGAAACTTTTCTATATCAGTTTTAATCTATGACTTTGTATTGAGGTTTCACTACTAATAAAAAAGATTTCTGTTGTCCTCGAGTTCTCTTTTATTATTATTATTATTGGGATGGAGAAATGTTGGCAGTACAGAATGGATGGGAGTTGTCTGAGATGTAGAAAATCATTTTCCCATAAACCCTGAGTGAACCGAGGAGCTTCCTACACTGCAGTAAATGTCATCTGAGAGTAATATTGGAGCATGAGTCACATTCAGAAATAGATGTAGTAGATCCCATCGCACTCCTGACCCGATAAAGCCCAAATGAAAACTGGGGGGTGCCGAAAGTGACAGCAAATGCCTGCGCACGTCAAACGCAAAATACCATATAGTCACTCGCACTCCGTTTGTAGATAGCAGTCAATCTTCTTTATTGACTGAACATGATGTCACATACACAAAGTGACGTTTTGGCACCTGGCAGTCCCTTCTTCAGGCAAACAACAGTGTTTGCCTGAAGAAGGGACTGCCTGGTCCCGAAACATCACTTTGTGTATGTGACATCATGTTCAGTCAATAAAGAAGATTGACTGCTATCCAGAGAGTGCAAGTGACGGGTAATGGTTTTCAGGGGGCACATTGAGGAACCTGGCCTTCAAGCAGCAGAGAGAGTAAATCCAGCCTTGCTTCTGTTCTCATTTAAATCTAACAATGAACTTTCATGAGCTTTCTTTTCCTTCAAATCCAAGCTTACAAAAACAAAAAACTAATTCCATGTCTTGTCTGAAGCCCCCTGATAGGACCCTGTGATAAATCGTTTGGGGTAATTTCCCCCCCCCCCCAAAAAAAAAAAACTCAGCCCTTTATTTCATTTTGCAGATTCCAGGGGTGGGGGGTTTCTGAGCGTGGGCATGGTTTTACAGAAACATAGGTGTGGTCAAAGGAGAACTATGGGGTCAGGGCTTTTCCCCATAGTTCTCCTAAGGGTAATGGGAGGACACAAACTAGCATCCTCCCGTCACCCAAAGCTCAGTATACCGCGAGCTACAGCTCGCGGTATACTGAGACGCCGCAGCCGGAACGGATCCCGACAATTCTGAGATCCACCCAGCTGCGTGAGTGACAGCTGACTCTGCCTATCTAGAGGCAGAGCCAGCTGTACCCGCCCCCTCCCCCGTCCGTTCCGCCAGTCACCGCTGGAGGATCGGAGCGGGGGTGGATCCCTGCAGGGAGCCGTGAGTGACAGTCACCACTCTCTGCAGGGAGATGACCAAGAAGTGAGCAAGCAACGGTATGTGTTCCCTCACTTCCCGATCTACTGAGCCGACCTGTGACAGTTTCATTGTTACACGTCGGCTCGAACTATGAGGATGAGTGAAAATCACTCACCTCATAATTCTCCTTTAAGTATAAGTGGGTAGGGTTTTGGAAGATAGGGGGTGGGGTTTAACTGTCCTAATTTGACCTTTAACATTTTTGTGATCTAGGCAAAGCTAGGTGTAAAACAAAGGACCCGGTGACAATGGAATGCAAAGAAAACACGTCATTTGGAGCACAGTACAGCTGTTGTGTATGAAATGCCAGCTGTGTATATAGAACTGTAAATAGTCTTATTGGAAAGTCACTACAACGATACAAAGCATGGGATTTGTGTTTTTTAATGTTTTTAAACTAATTCTTGATGATTGTTTTGACTATGGTTTTTTTCTTTTCTATTTAATAAAACTGTTTGTGACCTTTAAATAAATAGTCTTGTTCATTTTACATCATCCGCGGTCTACATTGAAGGCAGTGTTGATATAAAGCATATTGTATAGAACAATTCTAATTTTCACTTTTGTTTTAAGCAAATATGGCTCCCTTGAAGAGGCGGGGCTTAGTAATAACCACATGTATGGTTCTGTCAAAATATTATTATTTTACTATAAAGGATTTAAATAGCGCCAACAGTTTGCGCAGCGCTTTACAATATAAGGAAGACATTATAATCACAATACAATTCAAGACAAGATGGTAAGGAGGGCCCTGCCCCTGAGGGCTTGCAATCTAAAAGGGAGGGGGAAGTTATACATGAGGAGGTAGCTGTGTGGGGATGAATTGTTTGAGAAAGTGATGGTTGAGCGGTTAGGTTGAGGTGGGATAGGCTTCCCTGAAGAGATGAGTCTTAAGGGATCGCCTAAAGGCAGTCAGAGTGGGAGATAGACAGACAGGTTGGGGTAAAGAGTTCCAGAGGATGGGAGAGACTCTTGTGAAGACCTGGTTGAGCTTGGTTGGGTGTATTAAACAGGTTTAGTCCATTTTATAGGTGGGAGTTCAAACTAGAAACTCTTCAACCCCCTGCTAGTTCACTTCCATATCCTGTGCTCCAAAGCAGAGTGGTCCTTCTCCACTGATGGCTCCCTCCCATGAGGACATGACACACCCCTAAGACCGTATTCCATATCAGCAGTATAATATGGGTCCCCTGACTGACCCGATCATCTCTGGTCAGCAAGGACAGCCAGCCAACGAATATTTCCAGAAGGGAGTCTGCTATCGCAGCTTTCATATTTCTCTCAGCTCAGGTTATCTTTAAAGCCCTATTCCAGCCTGGGCAGGAAAACAAACAATGGATCCTCCAGCAGCTCTTAAAA